TCGATGCCTGATTCTGCGCCAGATGAATACAAGAAACTTGCCGAGCGGTGTTGTGATGCTGATCCTGATAAGCGTCCAAAAGATGGATGGGCGCTTTGGAGGGGTATTAACAATCTTCTTAAAGATGTAAAAAAGAATGAATCTGGTGACAACGTGTGGAATGCCATTTATCATACTGATGTAAAGCCGTTATCACGTCTCGAGAAAGAGAGTAAATATTCCAGCAAACTCTTACCTACTGGAGCTTTGCCTAAACCAAGAAACAGCGACGATTTTTGTCAGTTACCTCCATTATCAGATTTCAACTTGCCAAATTTAGAGGTCGAGTTAGGGGAGGTTGACGAAAAGTAAGGGAATTTATTGAAGACAACAGTTGCGTTTCTGTTCATATAAATTACAATATCAACATCGTCTACACTGCTTATGCTTTAGTGACAAATGCTTTCGAATAAACTTGTAATTTGCACTTTACTTTTTTTCTAATCAAATATGTCAACGCGTGTTAAAATAACGTTTACTGTTGGCTGTCTTCTTATTAAAAGTAAATATTGAGAACCAAGTCTCTAAATTTATGGTTTGATGTTAATCGTTCATGAACAAAATTGTATTGTCAATTTCTGCACCCTGACATTTTTTTCATACCAAACCAATTCTTTCCAAATGACCCATGCAGCCGGATAATGTTATTACGTGATAATCATTCCACGATAAAGAGTGCGGACAAGAATCCTGGAGACGCGATAAAAGCAACTGCTCGGAATCTTCCGATTGAAAAAAATAACTGAAACTCGTGCAAGAATCTTATTCCGCGCGAGAGTGATGAATCATACGCTTCGAATATCTGTTGCTGCTCTTTTGTAATATTACGCTTCGAATATCTGTTGCCGCTCTTTTGTAATATTGCTACTGCATAGCCTGTAGCGATGCAAGTTTTAACGGCATCTGCAACAACGGGAAGTGCCAGCGCTATCGGAGTAGTTCAGAATTTCTTGATAGCAAACGCAGAATCCTATGTATATACCTAATATTAAAGAATTAAATTAATGTTAGTACTACCCAAAAGCGGAGCTAATTGAAGAATTAACCACTGATTATGGAAATTCTTAATTAGTGGCCATATGAAAATATTGTACAAACTAACTTTACAAACTAACTTACAATGCTGCGGACTTTTCTATTCTATTATCACTATTACCCAACATCATTCTACCTCCTTAAAAGTCAATTAAAACCGTTTTTGCTTAATTGTAAGAACTTTCGTGGTTTAAGATAAGGCCGAATATTGCAATCAACAAACCAGATATTAGTATTAGTTAATTTCTCACTCCAAATATTTTTAAGTTTGCGTGATTTGTTGCGTATTTGTATAACACATTTACAATACTTCCGTAAATATTGCACCACTCATGACAAAGAGTCTTAACCTGCAATTTTTTTCAACATAATAGTTGCAGTGACTTGTAAAATTATATTTACGTTGTGTTTAAATTTCATTGCTGATATTTTTATTTGCTGCTTTTGGAGATATTTCGGGTCGTACTTACTTTTTATGGGTGGCACTTTCGATTAAACGCCACAGCATCGTCTCAGTTTACATATGATCATGAAGCCAATTCCAGCGGAGAAAAGATCACATATACACATGTTCAGGAGGGTTATAGTATAACGTGAAATAGCTAATCGGGAGATTGTTAACCATGCTACCGAATAAAAAAAAACACTCCCGGCAGTTTTAAAGTTGTCAAAACCGGGAATACCGCTAGGCTTATAAAGTCAAGTGAATGCTCAAATGCAACTTAAATTCAAAAAAACCCAAAGGCGAACACGTGATAAATTTCCCAAATATAATACGACGCGCATTAAGAAGTCAAGATCTAGTAGCAAGGGCAAAAAAAAAAAGAAACCTCCATTGAAGAAACGATGCCAAACGTGATGAATTATCTGATGCGCTTTTCCTCCATTGAGGAAGCGCTGGCCGTGAAACAATACAATGATGAGGTTGTCATCAGATTCGAAAAAAATAAATAAGTTTCTTCTTTGCAGAAAACGATTTGGTATAGCATGATTAAAATTTATGTAAAAGTATAGAGGTCGGATGGTGGAGGATCGGCGAAAGGTTACCTGGTCAGATGAAAGTAAGTTTGTGATCTGAAACTCGGATGAAAGGGAGTGATATTGGAGGGATCCAAAATTACCTATAACGTCAAACTAACGGCGAAGTATGGCAGTTGCTTCAGTTATTTAGTATCGAGTTATGTTGACGGTCGAATAAATGGTGATCTATATCAAAAGAAATTTTAACTGACGAACTGATGAAGACCGTGAAACATGCACGATTTAGGCATAACGATTTCATTTACCAGAAATGACCCGAATCACATGCTGCTCATGAGACTGAGAGGTAGTTGAGTGAACATCATATTAAGGTTTTAGACTGGCCCGCATACTCACCAGATCTAAACATATTGAACGTTTATGAATCATCAGTTGCGCACTCCCTGGGGGTATTTGACGCTCTGAATAAAATACAACAGGTACGGAATGAGATCGACATTGAAGCTAATTGATACTACAGTCAATTGCCTTTAATTCGACCCCCTTTAATTCGATTTCGCCGATAATTCGATCGCTTGAGCAAGACCCGAAAAATATTTTTATTATTGTTTTCCTTAAGTACGTCTGCCGTTAATTCGACTTATACGTTAATTCGACCAATGACTCCGGAACGGAGGCGGTCGAATTAAAGGCAGTTGACTGTAGCCCTAATTTGTATCAGCCAATCAGAATCAAAGACAAATTTCGTGCATTACACATATTCCAAGACTCCAAGTGTTATTCTTTGCAAAAAAAAATTAACACCCTTTCTCGCAACACAACCTTTTATTTCTTCACACTTTTTAATAAACATTTTGTTCCGATCATGTGACTTTTAATCCGCCAATCAGGGGCAACACAAATTGGAACGCTCAACCATATCAAAGGCAATATAACATTCCTCTGTAATTACTTAAAAACAATAGTGTAAAGTCACTAAAGATAGAAATGAGAAATCAACGTTTGTTAACGTATTCAGTACAATTATCAATATAATTCTGACGAGAAGATAGCGGGGAGGATATCGAAATGGCGATGGTGGTTACACTCGGCGGTGATTTGTCATAAACAAATTTTCAGATTCGTCACCGTTTAGATATTACACAGTGAAATTCACTTTAACAAAGTCTCCCTTTAACGAAGATAGCTTATAACGAAGTATTTTTCTGGAACCAGTTCGTTCTTAACAGAATAATTTCAGATAAATGAAGATTTATATATAAATTCAGTATAAACATATAACAAAGATTTCAAAGTCCATGCATAAATAAAGCCATTCGCTTAGGCAAAATTTTTTGTATCATGAAGTTCACTATAATATAACGAAGTTTGTTATAGAAATTAAATCAACGATCTCAATTTCATAAATAAAGATCTAAAACGGTATCTTCTTGCTACCAAGACTGTAAAAACAACGAACAGCACTTACGCTTGCCCCAAAAAGGACAATAATTGCAAATTTTTGGAAATACTATGCAGAAAATAAGACAAACAATCATTCATGATTATATTTAATACTTACTTTCGGAATAGCAAATTTTTACCGAAGAAATTTGGCGGAACGGACGACTTCGTTAAAGTGAATTTCACTGTGTAATGTAATCTGCTTTCGGTATGTATCTTCCTTTATTTGGGTTCTTTTCTCCAAAAAATATGGGGATTAGACATCGGTAGTGTTACCATGTGAATCATTTGCTGATCACTTTAAACATACAAATTCAAGCTCATAAAGTCTGTAGTGTTACATATTCCAAAAGATACCCTACAAGAAAATAGAGACACTTTTTCGCTTTCCTTGACCAAATTATGGGTTTTTATATGAAACGTGTTTTGCGGGATATTTTTTTATTTTTCTATACAAAGTTTCTCTATTTCTTGTGGTGCATTCATCGAGGTATTGCAGACTTGTGGAGCATAGCTTGCTTTGTTACCGAAAGTGATCAGCAAATGATCAGCAAATGATTAGCAGTTTATTATTATGGCAACAATACCGATATCTAACCCCATTTATATTACGATTATCACCCCGTTTTAATGCCTCATAATAATTCTTCAACAACAACATTGGCGAATGTCTCATGATGGGAATGGCCAGAGAATTACAATTGTTTCGTCCCAAATCGCTCAACACTACAAAAGCTGATGGTAATTAAACTTCACATGCCAATCTATCGAGCGAAATAGTTAACATGGGTATATTGAAAGTCTTGGATAAGGTATAGTTTTTTGGTGACAGCGAAAGTAAAAAGAATTCGTCGATATCTAGCTTTTGTTGAAATTGGGTTTCTAACAAACAAGCAAGACATTGACTAGGTGCATTCTTTTCTTTTTTTTTCAAGATTAATCTATGGCTGAGCATATTAGCCACTTGCGCGCTTGCTTATTTTAGAGATGCCCATGTATCGTTCGCTATCCTGGGAGCCGTAACAACTTCGATAATAGGTGAGGTCATTTATGTTCCATTCGCAACAAGTACTCTCTCTAATTCGCCCATTCATCTCTAACCCTCGGCGTTTTGCTGCAACCAATGTGCACACACATTCTATTTACTTCTTCATAACCTCGTCTCAAAGTTCGAATACTAAAGCGCATAATCCGCCAACCGCGTCCCAAAACCGCCTTAAAGCCCAGAACTACTTATGGCATGCCGTCAACTCATTCAGCCTCAACCATGTACTTTGCAGTCTACACGTCTCTCTACCTCGCATCATCCGTCCCCACCTTGACAGTTTTTCGCACTCTTTTTATTACCATTCTACTCGGCGTGGCACTGTTTATCGTTTGGTCCCGTGTCGAGCTAGGACATCACACTGGCGCACAGGTGATCGCTGGGACGATAGCCGGGTGTGTGTGTGCAGCAGCGTGCCATTCGCTCTGGTGGGAGTATGGATTGCCGTTGTCGGTTGACTTGGGATTGAACAGGAAGTTAGAGGTGAACGACATTGGAATTGTCATTGATTACGTGTGGGATGTGTTCACCAGGCGTGCAAGGGTGATGTAGTAAAATAGTATGACAACGCCCGTCATTACGGGGTTGCGAGGTAGTAATATTTAAAACATAGTGATATGTAATGCTAATTAATATAGACAAGATAAATGATAGATCTGTATTGGAGTTCTCCATGATTCCTTTGGATCTTTTGCGGCAACAAAAAAACAATCCGGTTGATTAATTCACAATATAATCGACACGTGCCTGTCGATATAATTTTTTTGGACGCGTTTCCGAAAGTTAAACATAGGGTTAATATTAATAAAAAATAAGGAGGCCCCGATGACATGCTTTATGTTGATAAAAGAGTTATTCACTTTTCTCCCCCCAACAAAGCGAGACTTTGTAAAAGTTCACTGAAGTCTGAATGACAACGGTTACTGTGTGATTTCTGCGAGTTGAGTGATATTGGCCCTTTTTTTTCTTTTCTTTAGAAGGTATTATTATTATCCCCAGGAAGCGAGCATCACGCATTTAAGATAAATACCGACTCAGAAGCAAAAAAGTAGCCCTGGCAAAGTGGCCTTGTTTACCGGTGCCCTTGAAAGATTGTTACAAAACACTTAAGAAAGCTAGTGACTTATTCGTGTATAGTCACAAGCTGGCAAACGATATGTTTATAAGCGAACGAAAGACGGGTTTATTCATTCTCAGGTCTATTAGACGCAAGAAAATTGTAGTCTTGAACTCACATCAATCTGACCGAACTCACACGAAGAAATAAATGTTTCATTACTCCAGCCCCTTCGAGTTAAGTCTTGTGCTAAATAAATTTCTTTTGGAAATTGTGTAAAACGAGACAATACCGTGTATTTGATGCAACATTGTGTCAGAATTATTGCAACAAAAACAACCAGAGGCAAAGTGTTTTCCGGGCCCGTCCGGGAGGGTCTGGATACACCGGGCAAATCCTCGAATATGTCAGTAGCGATATTTTTATTACAGAAGATAAAACCTAGAGTCAATGGAACGAAAATAGCGTGATATAATAAATTGATAAAATGGACATTGATAAATAATAAACGACTCGTCGATCGAAATTAAATTGCGACTATTTAACACTCAACTCGGAAATTAAACTAATTGACTGTTCAACATTGCACTGGGCTCGAAAATTCTTTTACTAGATTGTGATTTAGCCAGTTCTTTCTGGCAATAAATATCGCAGAGATTGTAGGAAATATTGTGGACGGTGACGCTGTACATAATGGAGGAGATATTCACCTTTTATTTTGCATGACCTGCAGACGACTACAAGCACTTTGATTTGAAAAACCCTATGGGAGTGGGATAGATATCGTCGGGTTTATAGACCGATTACATATTGGCAAACACTAGTCATGATATATCATGGTTGGGTCACCATCGACTCTATTTTCCGCGAGGCCGTTCGGTTTCGAGATGACTAATATTTTTTATAAAAAGCCACTTGATCACCGCGGAAAACGCGAACCGATGTTATCTTTTTTTTTTTTTTTTTGCGGAAAATAACACGATAACAGGTCGGTAACATAAACCACAACTATGCCAACGTACCAAATTCTACCACTTTACTCTCATAGATCTCAAAGAATGTCCATGCATTGTTATTGCAAACACACGCTCATTTACCCACCCTTCAGCAAGCCCCCGATACAAATGAAAATAAAATCGACAGTTCTGAATGTTCCACCAATCAACCATTCCCCTTATTATTAAAAAAATGTAATTTATAATTTCCGTGTTAAGATTAAACTTGTATCAATTTTAACGGGTCCACGTTAGCTAACAAACAAAATGATGTCAGCTATAATGACAATGATAATGCCAAACAAGTACTTTTTAATGCATGTAATAATGTTCAAGTGTCAGTGGAAACACACGATCACACCCACCCCGTGAAATCTAAATTATAAAAGAGTGAATAAATAAACAACTAGTAAAACCTCCTCGTCACCTCTTTGGATAAAAAGTTCTAGATCTTCTATGTTTAGCTTTTCTTACAACTTGAAATACTTCATACTCATCAACCGAAAACGTTACGTGCGTAGACCTAATAGCCTTTTCATATGAATCAACAATGCAACAACACCTTTTCTCGCGCTTGAAATCATTACCCCATAACCCTAAATCCGCTATTAATATGTCACCACCAAACGTCGGCCCTCGAGGCCCGCAAAATATGGCCTTTGAAGGATACTTTACCCGACTGATAACGTTCTTGCTCTCGTCGGTGTCCAGCGAAAATATAAAACTGCCTTCGGTAGAATCCCATTCACCGATCGGCGGAGATCTCCAATCGATCGGATTGTACCCGCCGATCAGCTCATCAGTGCCATGTACCTTTATCAACGTAATGGTCGCACCCTTCTCGTCACACAAGGTATGAAATACCGATGGCGTAAATCCGTCTCTGCTGCCGCGTAATAGTAACCTGAACCTGTACGGATTACGCGATCCTTCGTATGGCAGAGAATGTGTGTCGGATCCGTCATCTTTCGTACCACTAGCACCGCCGCTGTTGCCGTTATTATTATTGTTGTTGGTGTTGTTGGTGTTGTTGTTGTTGTTTTCAAACAGTCTATCGATCTGAGACGCGATCCATGCTGTTTGTCTTTCGTTTATCAGTACGGAATGCACGCTAGTCGGATTCATCTGCCCGTAACGGGGTGGTAATACCTGATAGCTAGGTTCGTAGCGCGGTCTCAGATAGTGGCTGATCAATTCACGAAACAAGTGTTTCGGTAGGATGCTCTCGAAAGGGAATACCTTGACATCAAAGTCCCTCGGTGATATCTGGAAGAATCTAATGAGTGGAATGCACTTTTGCAATTTCTCTCCCAATTTGGCAAACTCGTCAGGTGACCATTTCGTATAGTCAGGTGACAGTTGTGTCTGATCTATTCCCCATTCTATTATCCTCGACCATATTTGGCCTTCACTCAAGGTGAGATCATCTCTCTTCAACAGTGATAATACTATTTCTTCTGTCAATGAATAGAAATCCTCCGATTCAAATATTATCTCGGGATCCATTCTGATGATTTGGCAGAATTCTTGTAGTTTGTTGAACTTCTGATTTTGAGAGGCAATCTGGTTTGTCACTCCATAGTTTGATTTTAGCCACGCTTCCTTCTCTTTGATAAGCTGGCCCTGAATGTGATCGAGAAGCTCGTCATCCAATGCCAGTTGTTCGGCAGTTATTAGCAGATCGAGTAACTCGGGCGCTTCCAGTTCATCCAAGGAGATCGATCCAGTATACATGTACCTAAAACCACGTCAAGTAGTGCAGAAAGTTTGATCGATCAGCTGCAAGCGGATTTCATTTCTTCACGGATCTGTAATGTTGGTTTCTATGACCTTTATTATCACCCCATACTCTCTTTACCTCAATAAAACTTCAAAAATCGAAGGAGATATATGCTCGAATGAGTTCGACTGCATCAAAGTTTTCCTAAAGTAGCTACTTCTTGCACGTAGTATAAGGGAATGTGCTCTGAACACCCTCGCATGCTGTCCTTGTCCGACGCTGATCGATGTATCGTAATCATCGGCATTTTCTAATAAAGCGCCAAAATCCCTGACTAGGAAACCGACGAAATCGGGCATGGAGTACCTTAATATAGGGAAAGCGGGGACAGAGAATATCGAGAAATGTTGTGAGGAGGCAACACAAAATTTCCAGAAATTTTAAGGCAGAACAGCTGATTGGTCGAGTTTAGAGTATGTGTTACGGAAGAGCGCCGATTTACGATTGATCGTCAATAAGTCTAGCCATATTAATATTCGATTCGTAACAATAAGGAAAATAAGGCAATTGGCTTGGCGTTAACAAAATCATCCGCAGTTTGGCATTAAATCAGTGATTAAAACGAGTAAATATATACAAAGGGAGAACATCCCCCGCATTAGCATTTGCTGTACTTACATTTGACATATAATCGACATTTCTTTTAAGGAGAATGTCCAAATTTAGAACTGATATTTTAAACTGCGGCAACTCATCTTGTTTCGTAAGATTGCTATCGTCATCATGAGACTTTTGCTCTTAAACAATGTTTATCATCCAGGCATTTTACTAAAATCCTGTTGCATAGTCTATTTTAGCTGCTCCGACTCGTCAATGCAAATCTATGATAGACTGTTACTGATATTCGTACACATAAGATTTACGCGTCACGCTGTCAAAGATTCCGGTGCTTACTTTTCAATGCTGATTAAGACAGTTTGTAGTACACTCAACAGCTTCACGTTATTTCTCTCTTTTTCAAAAGCATAGTCTTGGCGATCGAATAAAGTCTATAAACCGACAATTCAATAGGTTATTAATAATTAGTTTCTACGTCCTAAATCACAAATCCCAAAACGAAAAAGATACTATCACCTGAATTCTGTAGAATCGCGTTTTATGCGTTGTACATATCGTGTACGCCGGTATAAGAATTTTCACGCGGCATGCTATCGTTCTTATTAATAAATTATACTGTACATGGTTTTTGATCAATACAAAGTACCTCGCCGTACGTATTTGTGAAAACAAGGATATTATCACGACACCGAAAGACTAGAAATAATTAGCCGAGTAAAGGCGAAGACGAACTTTTAGTACATTAAGAGACTTTGCTAATTTTCGCACTTATTAGAGGACAAGAACCGCGTGGACGCCATATAGCCACTTTACTTGCAAACGCAGCACGACTTTGGCCTCTCGACAGCATTACAGAGATGTTCACCCTTTCTTGACTTTACTATGATTGCGTGGGTATTAGCAGATTACATTGAGACAAAACAATAGAACGTTCTTGTATTTCATTCACAATGTTTTCCCACCGTGATCGATTGTATTGTTCAAATGTCTAAATTCTTTACGACATCAAAATGATGACGTTTGTATATACATTGGCGTTTATTCAGTTACTTATTATATCATTGAAAGTCACTCAAACATCCAACATTCTATTATTTACCCGGGCCATGTCAAGAACAATACTAAATAATCTGCAACGTGCATAACGAGAGTTATTAGCTGCATACTAATAAATAAATTCATAATGAAGGACGACAAGAACAAGGGCAAATAAGGTAGTCCTAAGCGTATCATCATTTGTGGAACCGAAAAGAGTTTCTGTTGTTCGGATATTATATTAAAGTAATAAAGTGCTTATGCAATGATCATCACAAACTGATGCGAATGCATCCAATGCAATCGAACCCCCCCTTTTCCCATTTCTTCCCCTCCATCAACCCCCTTACTCACACAATCGGATTCACATTTTTTCAAGCTAAACCCAATCCAATTGCATCCAATGCAGTCAAAAATCAAAAATTGTTACTGCACCAAAAAAGTAATTGATGTCCTTGGAAATGGTGGAAAGACGTGCAATGGCGAAAGTATTTAATAAGCCGGCATTGACGACCAGAGCGCACCAAGCTTCGAATGAAGAAAATAATTCACTTGAATTAAGAGATACAAATCTTATACCATTACAAATTCCAGACATTTAATACCACACACGCTCTCGAACAGCACAGATACTCACGCTTCTACGAAACCCGCATCTTTATCTTTTCACACAAAATGTCAACTCACCAAATCAAAGCCTCATCAACCGTCGATCTTGTTTCTGATGCCGCACAGAGGCGCAAAAGGATCGACTCGGGATTCTTTGAAGACTTGGATATAATTGCGATTGGATCTGATACCAAGTGCTCCGATTCTGCCGCCGAGAATGTCAATATCACCGACAGATCTGTTACCGTCCCGGGCGTCTCGTTCGCGTCATATACCGGCCTGTATACGATAACCATTGCCAGATCACACCGCAAGGTCACGTCTGAAGCTCAATGGGGACCGCTCGAAGATTACTTTCCCCCAATTTCTTGTCCAAATGCTAGTTCTGCTGCTATCACGACTACGACGACTGCTCACGATTCCGTCGAATCCGAGTCATGCGACAACGATGATCTATCGGGAAATCTCTCGCCATCCCAACAACCTCCCGTATCGCCTCAATTCACACAAGACTTGCCTTTTGAGTATGTCCTCACGCTCGAGGATAGGAGCAAAGTACCATTATGGAGAAGACTTAGAGATAATCCTGAATTGGGAAAGGCTTGGACTACCAGACCATTAGAATTCTTCTTGCCACGGGCCACCAAGAACAAAAATACGGATACAGGTTGCGGGATAAAGAAGGGACTTGGCGCAAACATGAAAAAGAACAAACGATCTCGGACTCTGCCGGAACAAAATGTTAAACCAGCATCATCTCTGAAACCCAAACTGTTTGCAGCAGCGACTTCAATCACGCACACAACCAAGATTACGATCGAACAATCGACCAAGCGGCCGCAGCGCGCACCAAAGAAACCGGCCGTTCCGATGCAAAAGCCAATCTCGACGTCCGTCAAGGTATCAGCAAGCAACAAGGTCTCGATACAAAAAGTACTGCACAGCCCAAGAGATCGTCCCGAGACTGGAATAAAGAGAATGGTGTTGGAAAAGGCAAAGAATGCTGCGAGAAAAATTGGTGAAAAGAGCGTCGGCAAGTGTCAGAAGAGCATGGAAAGCAAGAATGCGGCCAGAACGACCAAGAAGAATTTGAATGTGATGACTGTAGAAAAAAACGCTCTCTGGTAATTGGAAACACAGTCTGTTGTACGACCCGCCACTATCCACGTAAAACATGTAACTAATACCAAGTTTCTCTTTTTTTTTTTTTTTTGCATATCTGCAGGTTATCGAAATCGAAATCGAAACCACAACGAGAAGTACTCAAATACGACAACAGTTCTCGATTTGTTCTTCAACTCAAATATGCCATTTCCTAAGAACTACTCGTTAAGAAGAAGTCTTTCACATATGCTTATGACGTACTAAGCTATCATGCACTTATATCGACTTAAGGTTTCGAACATTCTACTTTTTCTGTAAATAATACTCCCTCCTCTTTTAAAATAATTTTAATATCGTGTCGGTGTAATAACATTTGCTGATAGTTTAGTTTTATGACAAAATTAAGATTATTAAAAAAGTATTTTCTTAGTGTCAATTTTTTTCAAGTAATTCTTTCTCTCCTTTCCTTTCGACTGTAAAATATTCCTTTTTCCTAACAGTTTTTAATAAAAATCACAGGTTTACTAGCAAACAGTACACGTGAACTGCATAATCCGTCAACGTATCAGCGAGCGTTACTGAGTATTTAATTAAGATAAAGTATGCGCCAAAGTACAAAAGTTCATTAAACACGTCTATGTTTCACAGGTGACGCAGACATATCGCGCGTTTAATAGAATATCTACAAACCTGCAATCGCACATCGATCGCTATGTCGCACATATTCGATACATCTATTTTGATGCCTTATCCGTACACTGTGTTCCCTCAAAAAAACGCAGCAATAAAGATTTGATCTAATCAATTTGACTTATTAGTCTACTCGCGTGGTCCCACCTTTTAAAAAAAAAGAAACAAAACAAAACCACATTCTTTTTCTTTCTCTTTTCAAAAAAAAAATGTCTTTGGAAAACCCAATCGTCTGTGTACTCGGGTGTGGGAACATGGGAATAGCCATAATCTCTGGTATCCTAGATGCCGAACCATCATCACCATCATCATCATCATCCACCAACAAGAATATCAAACCCTCAAAATTCCTGGCATGCGTCTCGTCAGAAGAATCAGCCAAGAAAGTAAAAAACGTGTTTGGCGATAAAGTGACGGTACTTTGTGGCAACAATCTTGCTGCCGTTCGTCAAGCAAACGTTGTTTTATTATGCACAAAGCCGCAAGTGGCAAAACACGTATTGACCGAAGATGGTATCTACGAGGCGTTGCAGGATAAACTACTGATCAGCATCTTGGCTGGTCTTCCGATAGATCAGATCAAGGCGTGGGTCCCCCCATCGACAAAGATCATTCGTGCTATGCCAAATACTCCGTGCATGATACGTCAGGGTATGACCGTTTTGAGTTGTCCATCAAACGTCGACGAGGATGAGAAGGCGTTTGCGTATTGGGTGTTTACAACGTTGGGAAGAGCAAAATTCTTGGATGAGAAGCATCTCGATACAGTTACAGGATTATCGGGTAGTGGTCCGGCGTTTGCGTGTGTTGTCTTGGAAGCTTTGGTAGATGGTGGGGTGATGATGGGACTTCCGAGACAAGCTGCCCTAGAGTTGGCCGCTCAAACGCTTAAAGGTACGGCTGAGATGGTATTGACGACAGGGAAGCATCCAGCAGCTATAAAAGATGGTGTTACTACACCAGCTGGCTGTACTATAGCTGGTTTATTAACTATGGAAGATGGTAAAATTCGATCAACTTTGGCGCGTGCCGTTGAGGAAGCAGCCAGAGTAGCTTCGACGTTGGGTAAATCACAAAAAGAAAAATGAAATTAAAAGATGGGTCATTCATAATTATATATCACTTGCACAACAATACAACTTTACCAAGTGGTGTAGTTTATTTCAGAGAAAAAATCGGTAATTTACAGACATTAGTTATTGTAATAAGCCAACTAAAAACTATTCTTGTTCTATATATTATTATTAACTCTATGCAAACACGTCTTCGCGATCAGCTTCAACGTCATCCTCCATTGCACTAAAGTTGAGGAAATGTTGGGGTCTAGATATTATAAAATGGCAATTAGTATCTGTCAAAGTTATAATAAAACAATTGTCTACAAACTCTAATATACTTTACCTGTGAAGCTCATGGTAAAAGTCATTCGGAACGTCGAGTTTCAGTGTGTATTTCATGTTTGCGCTATGCGATGGACCCATAAACGAGTAATTCCAAACGCCATTTTCGGGAACCATGAAAAAGCCCATAAACCGATCAGATAATAGCATTTGAACTTTTTCGGCAAATGTCGGGAGATAACCTAAAAGTAAATAAAAATTAGTAAAATGTTTTCATGTTGTTTGGAGGATGATATAAATTTGTAATTAAAATCGTACCAGGTGGATTAGGAGAAGTATCCTTATTATTGCGCGCCCATTCAAAGCCTGCAGGTGTGAGCTTGTAGGCTGTCAGTGAACATGAACCTGGCGTGAAACTGACAGTCATTGTAATCGTTTTATCGCCATCCCAAGATTTGTTCTCTGCAACGATTCTAGCGTGTAGAGAAAGTATTGTAGCAGACAATTGTGCTGTTTCAAATGGTTGGGTAACAATAAGACCAAGCGGCTCCAAGTCTTTGAGAAATTCGTGATCAGGTAGTGCATTTGGTAGATTGACCGTTTGATGAGTGCCGTATTGCGGAACAATGACAAGCGCACGGATCTCTTTCACTTGCGCATTGTCTTTAGGCGACACGCCGTATAGATATGCCGCAATTTGTGTTCTTAGATCTGCAATTTGAATAAAGCGTTTCAGCACATTCTTTGGCAACACAAACGTATATCCCGTGTCTCTTATGTCATCTGCATTAACATATATGTGGTTCGTGCGAAGATGAAGATTAGTGGACGATATTGCTCGGACACGCCATTCAGTCTTTGACGAGAATGTCTGCGTTTCGTAATTGCTAGTTGTTGTAACAATCATTTCATCGCCGCGGATATTTTGTGTCTTTGTGGTCACGGCAGTCAGCTGAGATTGCTCCTTCGTCTGCTTTTCAATTTCTGCAATTTGTTGTCTCTGTAAGGAGGGGGCGGAAATCTCCATACCAAGGATAATATCACGGATTTCGGATTGTGTGAGAGATGCGACATTAACATTATTCTTTTTGCCATAATCTGCCAGAATTAGGTCCTTGAGAGCTACTTCAACCTTTATCCATTCCTCATCGGTCAAAGTAGGCCAGATATGATGCGGCTCGGTAATGGTGTTCTTATCTGGACGCAAAATCATCTTAGTCTTGTCCGTGTTTACGTGTAACGCACGTAGTATAAGAATAAGTCGAGAAAATGCGGTATAGGGTGAAATAGTCTTTAGCCAGTCGTCGAACAAGTTGAACAGGCACATTTGGGGTTCGGTAGCTTTCAGAATCAGATCTCCGAATTTCTCAAGTTTCAAACAAGCTTGGAATGGTAATTGAAGCTCGCTCCCTTTTATCACTATGTTGGGGAAATCAAGACCTAACAAACGTATAATCATGTCAGTCACTGGACGCTTACATACAATTAGAAATAATAATTAAAAGCATCAACACTTACAATGCACTTCTAATGGATCCAACATTCCCTTTCTCGTCACAATAATCTGTTTAGGCTGTTCTTCAATGGGCAAAGATCGGATTAAGGCTGCAACTTCTTCAGCTGTTTTCCATTTGGCCAATTGACCAAGACGTTTCTGGCCAGCCCATACGGACGTGTGGATAATCTTGAGGAAAAGCTGACCAGTACGTGGGTTGAAGATAAAGATGGCTCCATTAATTGGTTTCGTGGTCAAATTCCCTTCAAACGTCTTATGAATTGTTACTCGATATACGTTTGTGTCATCAACGAACCAGATAATTTGGTTCGAAAACAATTCAGAGTAGTTTTGTGATGATAGGTAAGGTTCAGTCGGTTCCGAAGAATATAACTGCAGACCCTTTCGAATACGCTCGCGAAGAACATATAAGGCTGGGTTGGCTTTCATAATCTTAGCCATAGCGGATTGGATGAGAGGTTTCATGCCGGGTATCCAATGTCCGTAAGCACTATGCAGGTTATATGCTAGATCTATACCGATCATTATACCAAATGGTGAAGGATAAATACTCATGTTGTCTGTGGTATAATCCAAGAACTTTGCCCTAGTGTATCGCTCAATATCGTGCGAGTCGAAATCTCCCCATCTCAGCTGAACGTCAACAAACCAGCGGGCTGTTGTGGTGCCGTCCATCGTGTCTTTAGTGTCGTTGAGTAAAGAGGGTTTCGAAACATTCCATTTATAAGCAGCAAACAATAATATGTCGGCACAAGATGAGTTCATCTTGTATGATTTACGTGGATGAATTGTTTCTTTTTGCACGGTTTCGATCTGCAAGCTTTCCAACTCACTGTCAAATACTTGACACATATCCATTACAATGGATTCATGAATTTTTTGCCATAAATGTGCTCTGAATATCTGAATTAACGAAATCTTGAGCGTTGGAATCTTTCCGTGCATAAATATACCCGTCAAATCAAGTTGGACTTGGAATCCTACATACACGTTGGCACGATTAATAGTGGGTGACCACCAGAGCGTAAATCGACGATTTGGAATCTGGTTCAAACCAGACCGCTGCGCATTGGTCAGTTTCTTGTATCTCATAGACTCTTCAAAGCCACTGGCTTTCTCCCAGAATAGACCCTCCCACGTAGAGAAGTAAGTTCCCTTGAAAAGAGTATGTTCAAGAATACCCTCGACTCCTCCGAGCGCTTGAATCATATCAGTTCGATAGTTGTTCAATGACCACAATTTACCATCGTGAGCGGCTGATGTCCATGCAAACGGATTATTTTTGAGAATTTGGTATTGTTTAAATTCTGTTCGAACACGCCAGCCCTTATCGTATGCAAGAGTATGTCTGTCTTTCGAAAACAGAGTATTGATTCTTGGTAGACCCCGATCCCATGAATCCTCCAAATCTTCCAGTGTTAACCTACGATTTTGAGCATTGGCCTCCTCACGTTTAAGTGCATATTCTGCCCACACTCGCTGTGAATCAATAAACTCGGATTCCCACGGTTGCAAGTATCGATACAAATTAGGGATTAACTGGTCTTCTTCATGGCTCATACCAGAACGGAAATGAGTGATTCCAGTTTCTGTCTGCTTTGACCAACGAAGATCGGATTGCGGAATCAGCACATGACCCATGGACAACATGCCCAAACCGCCAAGCTCCTTGGGACAGTAAAACACAACTGGCGGGAAACGCGAAGGCATTTTGGAGTTGAGGCCAATTTTGATTCTTGTTTGAATTTTGTTTTCTGCTTTAACAATAATGTCTAATAGTTCACGCGTATGCACTACTGCCTCACGGAAGTATGACATAAGACCGATCAAACACGTATTCCATTTGTTCGATATCTTGGAGAATGTAGTGCTACCACTGGCCATCAAAATCTGACGTACGCGATTGTGGAATTTCTGCATGGATTCTTCGTCAACACGCAAAAACGCTTGTGCAGTACGTTCTTTCGTCTGCTCGTTGATGAGATTCCAAACGCCATCTTTGAGAGTAAATTCTTCGTTGATAGCCCGGATTCGCGGAAGGATACGTACTTCAAACCCACACATCTATAAAAATGAGTATATTAAAACATTAATGCTTATATTCACATCTTCTGGCAATTAACACATTATTCACTTGAATACATACATCAAACAATAAGTTGGGATTGTCTTTCGAATACACGCTTACGAAACTATCTTCCCACTCAATCGTAGTAAGTGAACGTGGTAAACGATTCTTGATATCCCAAAACACAGCTCGACCGAGATTTACGTCGTGTTTCATAAGGCGCATCCTACAATCTCGTGGCCAACATTTTTTATTATTGTATCCAACAAGATTCTCAGAATTAGGATCAGGATGCTCGGTTAGGAAACGTTGTATGAGATCTCTTGCTTCATCCGCCGTAAATCGGAAAAATATATGAATTTTGTCGATATATCTACAGTACAATCTAATCGGATGACGTGTCTCGGTGACTATGTCGCGAAATTGTAAGAAATCGTTCGGCATTTGAGGAGGTCCGGCCATTTCCGATGCGCGTTGTAACCCAAGCACCAGCAAATCGAGAATGAGACCATAATACTGGAATATAAAACTAGCAAACTGTAGTCCTCGAATAAGTCCATAAGCGTTCACGTGGTTCATATCTTTGTAATTTAATACGACGTTGTTCTTGGCCGTCATATAATCGGCAAGATTATGGTCTAAAATTAATCTCAACAATCTGTTTAGCAGCGTTAGATCGATCTTTTCGTATACTTTACTAAATTGGGTTTCTAACATGACATTGCAGGAACCGTCGGACGTTTCCCATACATCAGTTAGATTGTTGACACCCTGACAGAATTTGTAAACAAGCAACGGCGGTGGTTCTGTGTCTGAGGGCTTAATCCATGCTGGAAACAGATTCCTCTTTGTACCTTCGTACCAGAGATATTGATCCAAGTATGCGTCTGTAATTTTCTCCAGTGGCTCAACATCAAAGACGGGAATGAGGTGGGAGTATAAATCCATAAATTCGATTCCTACTTCTTTGAATGCACGTTGTGTCAACAACAAACGTTTAATTCTACTTAATGCTTCATGCGGGTTGTCGTATGCTTGTTCAATTAAGCCCAATTCTTCACGTTGACTTTGATTCAATCTACCCTTGACGCTATACGCCTCCTTCAATCTTTCCAATGCTAAAATCAAAAGCTTTGTATCATGCTTGTACGATAAAGGAGGAAATGGGATTGGTGAGAATTTACGACTCTCTAACCAATGTACTGTTGACGTGTAAATAGCGACAGCTTCTTCGGCAGTGATATATGGGCCATCTTTGAGATAGTTATGTTGTCGCTCTTGTTCAGCTTTGAGCCATAATCGAGTCAATCGCCCAAGATTCTTTTTACATACAGTTTTGTCGACTGTGGCACCACGTCGGATTCTTTCTCTGTTGTAATGAGCGACGCTAGTCCACCAATCAGCTTTACTTTTCACATATCTGAGAATCATGTTTTCTATTGGTTTTGGCATTCCAACAATGTGCCATGGTACATTAGCCTTCCAACATCGCCATGCTTCACTAAGATGTTGCAGTATAGTCTTTGATTTATTGGCTTTAATGCCTTCAGGCAT